CTTGGGCTGTAACCAGAGACAGACTGAGAATTGTACCCCCACTCAATTCTGTCTTCTCATTCTTCTTGGGTGGGGGGTGGACTGCCTGTGCCTCCCCCACCCTCCAAGCCAGGCTGTGTTCTCAGGGCCAGCAGGGCTGAGTCTCAAGGAGTCCCCTGCCTGTCTTCATGTCATCCTTACTCCTTTCTTCCTGACCAGCCTGGGGCTCCAGGGCTGGCCCTTCTATCTCTGATGTCCCTCTGGCTTTGACCCTTCCCCCTGCCAGGCTATTGCAGCAGGAGAATGAGGAGCTTCGCAGGCGCCTGGCCTTGGCCACCAGGCGCACTGAGGCCCTGGAGCGCGAGCTGGAAATTGGGCAGGACTGCCTGGAGCTGGAGCTGGGCCAGAGCCGCGAGGAGCTGGACAAATTTAAGGACAAGTTTCGCAGGTATGGGAATGAGAGGCTAGGATACCCATGCATGCGTCTCCCCATTCATTGGGGGTTAGCCGCAAGAGGCCTCAGAGATCATCTGATTCTGGTGAGAAAACTGAAGTTGTGGGAGGAGAATGACTTGCCCAAGATCCCTTATGAAGGAGAAGCTGAACAGGTTCTGGAGAACAGGACCTTGGCCCAGGGGTCTGCCTTGTATTCCTGTACAGGCTGCAGAATAGCTACACAGCTTCCCAGAGGACAAACCAGGAGCTGGAGGACAAGCTGCACACGCTGGTAATCTGTCCAGGATGGCAGTTTGACTAGACTGCTCACAGCATAGCAGGGGGCTAGGACTTGCCAAGGGAATGCCATTCTGCCCTGGGGCTTGGGGAGGGGGAGGGGCAGTGGGGGAGGGGACTGCAGTGTGCTGTGCTAGTCAAGACTGTCTTAATGCTCACACTGTTTCTCTTCTCTCCTCGTCTTCCCCTTCATGCTGCCACCGTTGCTGCCGCACTCTCCTCTCAGGCCTCTCTTAGCCACAGCTGGATTTTTGCAGTTGCGTCTGAGTTTGTGTCCCTTGCCCTGACCTCTTCCTCAGCTGAGATCTGGGATTGCTGGGGCCCTGGTCATGTCCCTCTGCCCACTCCTTTCCTCTTCCTTATGTGGGGCCTATTTAGTCAGTGCCTCCTTCCTGGGGGACAGCTGGGAGCCTGCCCTTGGCCCAGGCAGAGGTACTGATTGATGTCACCACTGAACACTCACAGCTTCTCGGCTTCAGTGGCAGCAAGCCCAAGCCATTCAGGGGAAGGGGGTGTAGATCCAGCCTATGAGCTAAAGATCAGAAGGCTGCTTTTGAGCCTGCAGCTCCCTCCCAGTTCAACTAGATAATCTCACAATCTCCCCCAGCTGCCACCCAGCCTCCTCCCTCCTCCCTCTCCCTTAGCCTGATCCTGGAAACAGCTCCATACATAGGCTTCAGCTCCTGGGTTTGCACAGTTACCGCCTCTCAGGTACCAGCCCCTTGTCTGGTGTGTAGAGTTCCCTCGAGGATGGGCAGCCTCTTACACTGCTGGGCCCAGGTGGCAGCAGGTCACGCTCAGAAAACCCCCACCCCACAGTCAGCCTGGAGAACAGGAGCGGTGTCTGGTCTCCTTCTGTCTGTCCATCGTCTGTCTCTATTCCGTCCGCCTTGGCTGCCCTAGCACTTGTGGCTTCCTGTGTCTCTGGGCTGGGAGGAGGGGATGGGGAGGAAGGGCTGGCTGGCGCGTGGACTGGGTTCACCATGAGGCTTGTGTTTCAGATCAAGAAGGCTGAGATGGATAGGAAGACACTGGACTGGGAGATTGTAGAGCTGACCAACAAGCTGCTGGATGCCAAGAACACCATCAACAAGCTGGAGGAGCTCAATGTATGTGCACTTCTGGGGCCTTCCTGGCCTGTGGGTGACCTTGTCCTGGCCCAGCCCTGCTCTCGGGCACGGCTGGACTCTGAACCACATCTGTATCTGTAGGAGCGGTACCGGCTGGACTGCAACCTGGCTGTGCAGCTCCTCAAGTGCAACAAATCCCACTTCCGTAACCACAAGTTCGCTGACGTGAGCACAACACCCACCCCGACGCCAGTCCGGCCTTTAGGCCTTCTCACTCCAGCCTCTCCACCTCCCTCCAGCCCCTGCTTTTAACTACCCCTTACTGCATTGTCTTCCCTTGGCGTCCATGTCTGCTCAAGCTGGTCAACTCGTCACTGTTTGGTGTCAAGGGCCCATCACTAGGGCTGGGGGCTGGCCCCATTGGTATTTTTGGGACAGAATGCCAACAGAGATAGGGAGACAGGGACTCAATTTCAGGATCCCATGCAGGAAGAGGGTGGTGGTGACCAGAGCTATCAGTGTAAGAATATTTAGAGATATTAGGCCCAACTGGTCCCCTTACCCAAAGGGGTAAACTCTAGGCCCAGTATCCTGGGGCCCAAGGCTGATGGGGCCTACAGGAGTGGGATGTTCCCCAGGCTGCTGGTCAGTTCAGAGCCTCAAACGTATGTCTGGTTTGGGCAGAGGCTACTGCTAAGATAGGGAGATAGAAGTTTGAGAGCACGTGGGCCTTCGCACCAGTTCTGGGTTCAGATCCTGCTAGCATTAATCAAAAGCTTCGAGTTATTTTACTCCTACTGAGCCTCAGTTTATTGGTGAAATGATACACCTTGGTGTGCCAGACACAGGAGACAGCAGAGTGCTGAGCACACTGTGGTAGCCATGACCCTTGCCACGAGCCACCTATCTTAAGTTGGGATTATTCATGTCTCTCTTCCCTTCTGCTCCTTTTCTCCAGCTGCCCTGTGAGCTACAGGACATGGTTCGGAAACATCTGCACAGTGGTCAAGAGTCTGCCAGCCCAGGCGCTGCCCCCAGCCTGGCATCAGGGGCTGTCGTACCCACCTCAGTCATTGCCCGGGTGTTGGAGAAGCCAGAGTCTCTGCTGCTCAATTCAGCCCAGTCAGGCAGTGCTGGGCGCCCCTTGGCTGAGGATGTCTTTGTGCATGTGGACATGAGTGGGGGTGCCCCAGGTGACCTAGCCAGTCCCCCAGTCCCTGGCAGTCCCACCCCCCAACCCAATGGGGAGTGCCACTCTCTGAGCACTGCGGGGGGCTCCCCAGATGAGGAGGTGCCTCTGTCGGCCTTTGAGAAGCTGAGCCCCTACCCCACTCCGTCTCCACCAACCCCCCTGTATCCTGGCCGAAAGGTAATTGAATTCTCTGAGGATAAGGTGCGAATTCCCCGCAATAGCCCCCTGCCCAACTGCACTTACGCTACCCGCCAGGCCATTTCCCTGAGCCTGGTGGAGGAGGGGAGTGAGCGGGCCCGCCCCAGCCCGGTGCCCAGCAGCCCTGCCTCAGCCCAGGCCTCACCCCACCACCAGCCCAGCCCTGTCCCCCCAGCACTCAGTGCCCCAGCCAGCTCTGCCAGCTCTGAGGAGGACCTGCTGGCCAGCTGGCAGCGGGCATTTGTGGACCGCACTCCACCGCCGGCCACTGTGGCCCAGCGCACAGCCTTTGGACATGACGCACTCCCTGAGTTGCAGCGCCATTTCGCGCTCAGCTCCACTGACAGAGATGAGGAGGTCCAGGCACCTTCTTCCCCAGCTGGTGAGAGCAGGCTTCTGCTGCCAACAGAGTCTGACTCTGGCCTTCCCAGAGAGGAAGAAGAGGAAGAGCTGAACCTGCCCATCAGCCCTGAGGAAGAACAACAGAGCCTGCTGCCCAGTGATAGTGGCACAGGGAAGGAGCCTGGCGCTTCCCACACTGAGGGCAGGACCTGGGCGCTCCCCAGCTCCAGCCGCCCCCAGCGCAGCCCCAAGAGGATGGGGGTGCACCACCTGCACCGAAAGGACAGCCTGACCCAGGCCCAGGAGCAGGGCAACCTGCTTAACTAGGGCCCTTGCTTGCCTTCCTGCCACTGCTGCACTGGGACTGCAGAGACCTGGTCTTTGCAGCTCAGGGTCCCTGCCCGGCCCAAGCCCTTGAACTTCCCTCCCTCTAGGCCTGCACAACTCTGTTCCCTGTGTGGGGAGGGTCAGACGGTGGGCCACACCAAGCCTTTCAGCTGCACTGACTGGCACCAGCTTGCCTCATGGTTTTCCCCTTTTCTTGAAATATTTATTCTCTAAAGGTAACATGCAGCCAGGGCTCAAGACCTTTCTTCAGATCAGTCCAGCCCAAATCAGGCTGTTCTGGGGAGCTGAGGGGTTTATCAACATCAGTGTTCATCTGTCTTCATAGCCATGAGATTATTTTGTTTTGATGCGGGGGAGGGTGTGTCACTGGGATTATTAACTTCTAATTTATGTTTTCTATTAACCTATTTTCCACCTGTCCCCCCTCCCCCCCCAATCCTCTGCACAAGCTGTTGCCTTCAAGGGGCCTGGCACAGCTTGCCCTCTGGGGTGAGGGAGGGCTGACTCAGGGCTCTCCTTGGCTGTTTTCTTCCTCCCTCTGGAAGGGAGTAGAGGGTGGGACTCAGAGGCCTCAAGCTGGGCTCTAGGTGAGGCCTGGCCTCTCCTTTCCACCTTGGCTCTAGACTGTTACTCCCAGTTTGAGGAAATTTCATATCGATGACTATTTTAAAATTAAATAAACTATTTTACTGGTATGGACTAATTTGTCTATTAATGACCATTCTTCTCCCCATTCTTGAGTATTTCCTGTCCCTGTGATGTCCTGGTCTTTGCTGGAGATTCTCCAGTGCCCTGCTCTGCCAGGACTTCTCTGGGCACAGAACATCTGGCAGTGGGAGAGGATGTACCTTAAGTAACCTTGATGGGGCCCCTGAGTCTCCCCTTGAGATAGAGTCAGTCCAGCCCAGCTCTGGAGGTAAGTTCTTTACCTTAGTCATATCCTTATATAGGGCCTGTGTAAGGTGTCACCTCAAAACCCTATGTCTTAGAAGTCCCAGGCCTAAGCCAGACTGCTTTGAGACCTTTGTGAGCCAGAGGATGCTTTGGCTGTGGGATAGCACTGCCCCCTAGTGGTGCCTAATGGTAGTTCCAGTTCCTCCCCTACTGCCAGCTCCCAGTGACCAGAGCCACACGCCAGGTTGTAGAGTTCATAAAATCTCTTCCGAGCCAGCGGGCTGCAGCCAGAGCTGCCAACAAGTCCAGAGTCATCGCCTTGGGTTCAAGTGTTCCCAAGGCTGTTGCTCGTTCACAGCCTCCAGAGCCTCCCATCACACTGCCACGAGCTGCCAGAGCCCTAGGCAACCCCCCTCCCTCCCAAGCCCCAGGGCCTGACCCTGGTATCTGGGGCTAGGTGCTGGAGACAGAGACAAATGTGATCAACGATGTGCAGAAGCCCAAGTGGAGAGTCACATCTCGGTCTCAGCCAACAGACTGTCCCCTAGTCCTGACGTCATTAGCACCATCTGAGAGCTGGGATCTGTGGAAGGCAGAGGGGTGTTCAGACCACCATTTGTTCTAGCAATGGGGACTACAAATAGGAAAAAAGTAGCCTAGGTTTCCCACACCCACCCTCCCAGGTCCCAAGCCTCTTCAGACCTGGTTCTGATGAACCCACAGGGCTCTTACCACTGGGGCACATCCAGGAGCTGCTTCCCCTCTGGTGGGCAGCAGGCTCCCGTCCCCTCTCTCGTTCCTGGGTGTTACCAGGCCCTCCTGCCACCTCCTCCTCCTCCTCTCCCTCAGAAAGGAGGTCACAGATCTGCTGCTGCAGCTCTGGGCTAATGCTGTTCTCAGCCAACACCAGGCTCCGCAAAGCTGTGGGGTAATTTTCTACCATGTCCAGCAGGGTCTGGGGTAGAAGAGTGTAGAAAAGGATTAACTCAGTTAAGGTGGCTTCCCCAACTCCAACGTGCCACCCCTTTGGTATGTCCACAGACATCCTGTCTAATTTTCACCCCAACCCCTGGCCTTCCCCAAACATGAAGACATCTCACCTGAGCCGACTGGTTGGTGAGCCCTGTGCTCTCCAAGTCTAGGACCTCTAAGGTGCGACTGGAGGCCACTGCTACTGCCAGCATCCCTGCCACATGGTCACCTGGGGAGACAGCACACACACACACATACCTGCATTCATGCACAGGCCTGCTAATCCTTCCTCCCAGTCAGCCTCCCCATTGCCCTAATAACTTTAGACCCCACCCCCAGGCCAGGAAACACTGACAGTTGGTAGATGGCCAAGAGGGGAGCATTGTGATTGGTGAATGAATTTATGAAGCAAGCTAGGGGTGGTGATGGATGCTTTGATCTACCTGTTGGTCATCTATCTGGTCCTCCACACAGGTGGCTCCTCTATTAGCTCCCAGACCCCCTTCCATCTTTCCTCCCCCAGTGTGAGGGTTACCATGGCAACTGATGGTCCCAGGTTCTTGGATGGGGGTGGGATGGTGAGAATCTAAGGAGATTTTCTTGAGCCTCACCCAGGGGGTTGTAATCCAAATTGAGGACGCGGACCTGGGAGCTGTGGGCCACAGCAATGGCGAGGCGGCTCCAGCCCTTAGGGGTGATGCCAGGGTTGGCACTCAGCGTTAGCTCCTTCAAACCTGGGCAACATCATAAGGAGAAGCCAGGATGGAGAAGGTCAGGCCCTCTTTAAGCCCCTACCCTGCCCTAGATCTCTAGGGTGTTCCTAGTGGCTGGGAGCCACCCCATCCCCACTATAGAACTCTAGTGCCATTAGAGACCCTGCCTTCCCTGCCCACCAGAACTGGATTCCAGATTCTCCATCCTGCTCAACCCCTAATCCTTCTCCTTCTTGAAAGGATTTAAGATACATTCTCACCCACACAGTCAGAGCTTTAGCTCTGGGCCATGGCCCCTGCCCTCTGCATTTAGCTTTTCATCAAGGCTACACCAGCCCATGCCCTTAGCAGGGCCCTGCTCACCAGACTTGGCCCCATCTGGGGGGAGTAGGCCACAGATGAGGTTGATGGCTTCATCACCTAGCATGCAGTCCCCCAGGTCCAGAGCCACAAGGGCAGGGTGGAGGGCCAGGGCTGGGTTCAGCAAGGCCAACCCTGCATCTGTCAGGGGGCTCCCATGCAGGCTGGGGGGTGAGACCAGAGAGCAGAGTTACCACAGTCATCAGCCCTATCTGTAGGGAAAAGGGGTGAGCCCTAGAGGTGAAGAGTCACAGCACTGAGAGGCCTCGGGAAGGGAGAAAGAAAATTCTAGATTCTAAAGGAATACAGGTAGAAGGGGAATTCGGTTTCTCTTCTGGTGCAGAGACTAGGACCCAGGACAGAGCACAGAGAAGGGGGTGGGGGATGGATTAGGATTCCTCAGTGGGCAGAATGTAGGGGCAGGGGTCTAATCCCCTGGGCAGTGTTCATTTTTGGAAACTGAGGAGCTGCCTCCAGAAGTCAATGCAGGTGATTCGGAAGGGGTGGGAACCCATCTCCTTCGGGGTGGGGCTGCATGTGCAAAGTCCGGAGAGAGGGGATGTGCTGAGAGGGTGTTGTAGAGGCAGGGGCAGAGGGATGACGGCTGTGTGTAAGAGGGGAAAGAGGGAAGCTGGTGGAAAGAGGTACAGGAAGGTGTGTAGAGGAAGAGGTGGTGGCAGGGAGTACGAGAAGGGCCCCCTTTTCGAGAGAGCACACTTACAAGAGGGACTGGATGGAGCGGTTGGTTCGAAGCGCCTCCGCAAGCTGCTTGATGCGGCTGGGGCTGGACACGACGCCCAGGTTAAGGTTGAGCTGCGCCAGGGACGTGGCCCCGGCTAGGGCCCGGCAGATGCGACCGAAGTCGCGGTCGCAGAGGCGGCAGCCGCGCAGGGAGAGCAGGCGCACGGCATTGTCGCGCAGGCCGCGGCAGATGTCCCGCACCTCGGCGCCTGACAGCGGCTCCCCCGAAATCTGGATGGAGCTGGGCAGCATCGTACCTACAGCTGGGCCGCCGGGGCCGGGGCCGGGGCCCGGGCCGCGGGCAAGGTTGGCTGGGCCGTGGGCGGGGTCGGGGCTCAGGTTGGGGCCCTGGCTGGGGTCGCGGCCGGAGCGGGCGCAGAGGCCGAGGCCGAGGCGCAGGCGGCGGAGGAGGTGGCGGCGGCGGCGGCGGGGGCGAAGAGCGCCGGGGCCGGGGCCGGAGCCGGCCGGGGTGGCGGAGGCGCCGAGGTCGCCCGCCGGGCTGAGACCTCCGTGCCGTCCGTGTCTGTGCTGTGGGCCGGGGCGCGCGATCGGCGGCCGTCCGGGCGCTACTCCGCGCTTGTCCTCGTCTCTGGAGGTTGCCGCGGCTCAGGGGCCTCGGCTTAGGACGCGCGGGACCGGTCCCCGCTCAGAGTCCGCATTCACTCCCTCCCTTCCTCCAGCCCGGCTCCCCCACCACGGCCGCGGGGAGAGCCTGAAGCGGGCGAGGACAGCGAGCCGGCGGGCAGCAGCTCGATCTTCGGCTCCTGCGCCGGAGCAGGCGGCGAGTTCCCATGGCAACGGCCGCGTCACCGCCGCTCGCCCCGCCTCTTGCGCGGCTCAAGCCACGCGGGCCCACGAGGTCTGCGCGAACCGGGAGGTTCAGGAGTCGTAGGGACGCTCTTTCCCTGGGTGTGGGGCCCGACAACAGGTAGTATCAGGGTGGAGGCCTGCGACCGGCAGGGGTGGGGAGCGAGTGGAGGCACGTGACAGGGAGATGGTGTTTGAGACTACAGACGGGTTCTTCTGCCCTTTCTCCCGTCGCTGCCCATCCCTAAGGACCAGCCCCGCGGTGCCTTCGTTCGGATCCCAGGCACGCGGTTTGGAAGTCCCGAGGGCCCTTTCATCGCGGCCTCGCCCCGCCCCCGCGACGGAAAGCAGTGTGCGAGGTTCCAGCCCACGAGGACTTCCCCGCGCGCCCCCCGCCAAGATGGCGGCTTCGCAGTGGCAGCCCCCGGGGCCTGGCCGGGCAGAGGCAGCCTGGGCTACCATGCACACAGGAACCCCAAAGGGTTTCTGGGGCAGGTGAGGGGCAGGACGATGCAGGGTGCTGGTGCCGCCCCTTCCACAGGTGCTCCGGCACTGATCCTGAGGCCGCGCACCTGTGAGGCCGGGCTAGCCTGATCCTGAGGCCGCGCACCTGTGAGGCTGGGCTAGCCTGATCCTGAGGCCGCGCACCTGTGAGGCCGGGCTAGCCTGATCCTGAGGCCGCGCACCTGTGAGGCCGGGCTAGCCTGATCCTGAGGCCGCGCACCTGTGAGGCCGGGCTAGCCTGATCCTGAGGCCGCGCACCTGTGAGGCCGGGCTAGCCTGATCCTGAGGCCGCGCACCTGTGAGGCCGGGCTAGCCTGATCCTGAGGCCGCGCACCTGTGAGGCCGGGCTAGCCTGATCCTGAGGCCGCGCACCTGTGAGGCTGGGCTAGCCTGATCCTGAGGCCGCGCACCTGTGAGGCTGGGCTAGCCGGCTCATCCCCCTGGCTTGGGCTGGAGCTTTCAGAGAACACGCTGCGCGGTGCTGGCAGTAATGTTGGAACTTTGTCCAAGGGTGATGGTAGGGGGCCTAGAGCGAATGAAGGGCACATTTTTCTTAGTCCCTTTATTAGGAAGGAAACATGCTGACCTAGATTTACTAGGGTACATTTTTTTTTAAAAGTGAGTAATGTAAGTGTAGCGAGAGCTAAAAAATTCTTTTCCCTGTAAACAACGGGGCAGATTAAATAGGTGGTGGGGTGGACGTTGCTATGCTTGGGTGGTGGTGGTTTTTAAGGATAACCAACACTCTTGAAGAGGAAGGACAGAACTCCTGGCGAGAGCTTTATTCCTGTCCCCACTATAAACTGGGCAAAGCCAAGTTTGGCTTCAAATGTGAGCTGCCACAGGAAAATTATCTCTACACGCGCCCAGGTGTGGTAAGTGTCATAGTGGTATGGGGTTGAGTCTGGAAGTTTTTGTCCAGTAGTCCTTGCACCACTGGTGTCCTGGGAGTGCAGCTGAGCTCAGTCTCAAGCTGGTGCACTGCTCCACTCGACTCCTAGTTGTTTTTCAGGCCTCCCTGCTGCTCCACGGGTCAGGTGTCCCCTGCACTCAGGGACAGGTTCCATATTCAGTCACTGCCTTCAATATAGTCTGGGCTGTCCTACCTTCATCCTGCCTGCCCCACCTTACATCCTGAAGGTATAATTAAGGGAACACACTGACACATTACCACCACTGACAGAACAGGAAAGTACAGGAAATAGGGTGGCTGGGAGCACCACTGGAAGGGTAGCTGCAGTTTCAGACTTCAATCAATATTTTAATTACCAAGTCTATATTTAGCAAGACAATGTGGGAGAAATAAAGAGGAAGGAAGGGGTAGGTGGTGAGAGGGCCTCAGAGGCGCTGACCCACTTTCTGCACTGGCTGCAGAGCCCTGCAGTCCTGGCCAGGGGTTCCTGGCCTTGTGCTCTTCAGAAACCCTGACAGGCATCGAAGGAGGTGCTTAAGCGCCTACAGCTCTCTGGCAGCTGCAGACCCCATCAGAGACACATGTGATCAGTTCTGTCCTTCAGTCTTCCTCCACTCTGCAGCAGGGTTAAAGGGGGCTGACCAAGGATTTCAGGTGGGGTCAGTGTGACTGCAGGGTCACTTCGACAGCCTTGAGCATGGTGGCGTTGAGCATGGTGGCTGGAAGCTTAGCAGCAGGGAGTGCAGCGGGGATGTCTCTGGGGACCCTCTGCATGGGTGGGATGTTGGGGCCCTCCAGCGTGTCTAGGATCCCTGAAAGGAGGAGGATGGAAGGTGAGCAAAAGTTGACTGGACACTGCCCTAGGCAGCTGTTCTTCCCTTCCCCCGTACCCAGGCCTCCTGACACTTACCCTCCACCACCTTGTGGTAGGCAAAATGCAGATAGAGCAGGAAGAGCATGTGCAGGGCAGCTAGGGTGCCACAGAGGAGCAGCCGCTGTGTGGGGCCCACAGTCCGTGACACCAACACCGCAACCTAGGGCCACAGGAATACAGCTCAGAGGGCCTGGCTTGAAAGTGAGTAGTGCTGAGAAGGTACTCCTCCCCAGAGCTGAATCATCTTCGGGCTCTTCCCCGCGCCCCGCCACCCCCAACCCAGAGCCTTTTGTGAGGTTCAGCCCAAGCTCCGGGCTGCTTTCCCCAGCTCCCCAGGAGGACAGCCCGCCCCTGGAATCTCCTGCCCAGCTTACCATACGCAGGGTGGACAGCCCCCCCACCAACAGCCAAAAGAGGTAGAAGAGGGCATGAAGGTGGATGTTGTAGGTGATGAGCAGTACAATGCAGTGCCCAAAGAGGCCATAGCCCTAGGAAGGAGGATGGCGGAGAAGAAAATCTCTCAGGCTGGCCTGGCCTCTGGACCCTCCTGTGGACCCTGAGAAATAAATGGTCCACTGGCCAGCTTACCCAATTCCAGGCCCTGGAGCCCCAGGACAGATGCAGAACAAGGCCTGGCCACTGTTGCAAGTCACCCTTGCCCACCACCATGCTGGACTCCTTACCAGCAGCGCCAGCATCTGGAGCATGGTGATCTGGGCGTTGCACAGGTAGGCGAGGAAGTAAATGAAGGATGAGACGCCCAGCCAGTAGCCAAAGCAGGTGCCAATGGCTGTGCCCATCAGGGTGCCTTCCCGCTGTGGGGTGAAGACTCTACTTAGTCCTGGGAGGCCTCTGGTCTCAGCCACACCCAGGACTGTCGTCAGGGCTGCTTCTAACTTACTCCACCATCTCCTCCTGCAGCTTTCAACTTAGGTCGCCACCCCCCAAAGTCCTCTGTCCTGCTTACGATAATGGTGTCAGATGTCTTCATCCCGTGGAGGAGAATGGCAACCAGCGTGAAGACCAGCATGAGAGGTCCATAGAGCTCACCAGCGATTTTCTGTCAATATATCAACTCATTCAGGCTGGAGGGTACAATGGCTCTTCTGTTTATTCCTTCCCAGGCTTTCTGGTGACCCCACCTTCTGCCCTAGGGCCTCCCCTGCCTTCCAGCTATGCTACCCTTTATTCACCTGGGGGAAGTTGACCATCTTGATAGGGATCATGGATTCCAGGAGCCTGGGAGAGGAGAAAAGAGGAGAGATGAGAGCAGAGGCAGCACTTATGAAGTTCTGGAGGGCCTGAATCTTATTCATCTCTCTAACTGCAGAGAACATGCTAGGTGGTAAAGGGAGAAGAGGGTAGTAAAGACAGACGAGGAATGAGGAAATCACTTCCTTGCCCCTAAAAATGCTTCCAGGAAGGACAACCCTCTGATGCTGTGCTGACTGATGCAGCAGCAATATGGAGAACTCAGGGAGCCCAGCAGGGCCTTGGGAGAGGGCCTGGCAATTTACCTATTTGACCTGCTCCCCTTTAAAAGGCAGACCTTGACAAAGAATGCCCAGAATCCCGAACTGTGATGGTAAGCCCTGGGAAAGATTTCAAAGGAAAAGTAATACTTGAGAAAACCAGTGGGCCTCCTGCCTCTCTTCCTGCTTATCATTCCTCCAGGCACTACTGAGCATTTTCTTGAAGTACATTTGAAGTGATGTGAAAATTCCCGGCAAAAGGAATACAAGTCCCCAATCTCTTCTTAGGTGGCTAGCTCCTAATACCTTGGGATTTGGCTAGATTTTACTCCCTCTGGGAAACCCACCCTGTCCTACCCTCCAGCCTACTCTGAGTCAGGTGTCCTCCATGTGTCACTTCATAGGAAATGAGTGATGGACGATAACTGTACTCGAGGGCAAGGCTCCCATCTGTTTCACCACTAACTCAGACACACTAGTAGAGTGTTCAGAGCAAAAGCTTAATAAGGGCTTACTGAGTGTACTGGGTATTTGGAAAGCATTGGTTAAATTAAAGGATCAACAAAGAACTAACCAAGATTAATTCCAGTTCTTGAAAAGTCATTGAACAACTATGTACTGATATTCTGGTTCAGAGACTGTTCTGGTGCTGGGAATAAAAAGATAAATAAAACAGAGACTGCTTTTGAGGA